AGAGAGAGAGAGAGAGAGAGAGATAGATAGAGAGAGAGAGGAGTCGGTCAGTTTAAGATATGCAGACGCAGAGTTGACGCGCCGCAACATGTTACCTGTACCTGTTACCTGTACCTATACCTGTTTGCCTGCCTGCCTATTTCGCCACGCTCGCGGTGTCTGAGAACTAACGCACCACAACTGTCAAAGGAGTAAATGAGTAAACCACTAATGAAGATGGGATATGCGACAGCAGCCATAGGATCTACAAGCTGTAAGACGAAAGCGTACGCCTAGGTAGAAAAGTGAAGCAGTTGAAAGTACCTCTTGATCCGAACCAGGTTCCCTTTCCAGCTTTCATTATTGCTCGAATTAAATCCCCTCTTCTATATGTGGCATAAATGCTTCACCTCCTACAGAGCCCCAAGCAACACTGAAACACGAGCAGCACTGAAATCTTTCGCAGAACCAATTCATTCTGATATCTTTAGGGCATTCAATGTGCATATTGAATTGGTAAACAACATATAGCACCAAAGCAGAAAATGCGGAGCTGAATGCGTTCAGTAAGCCCTCGTTCATACCTTGCGCCAATGAAGAAATGCATAATCAACGAAAAGGATTAGACACATGTCGACTCTCTACAATTCGTCATTTCCTCAAATCGATAAATATCTAATGCTTCTCGTCAATTCAGCACTTTTTACCATAGCAAGCTATGAATGCGGCCTAAGGAGAAAGTACGCTCACGAAAATGCAGAACAGCCCTTACATTACTCAAGCACTACCCCGTTTTCGCAAACATCCGAAGCGATACGACCACGAGCCCAGTGGATTACATATTGCACGCACACCTGCACACTCTACCACGCTCCGTTGCCTGCACCAGCCGACAGCATGGAAACGAACAACCCTGCTCAGAGACATGGAAACAACTGTAAACACAAGATTTCCAGCACAGCAGAATAAGATTGGCAGAACGGCGGCACAGACCGACAAGGAATGACTGGCGTCATCTCTGCGCGTCTTGCTGAAGAAGGCCGAGCTCTCGCTGTCTAATTCTGCAGCGATCGAGGTGGAGCGAGGTTTGTCCTTGGAGCATAGTAACTTTTGTCGCCTACTCAAAACAACTTGGGCGTTTAGCTTTACAGTATTCCTATACTTTCTGCTTTTTGTGGAACAATTATTTGAAAGCAGTCTCATCGGAAGCGAAACGACTTCGTACTACCCAAACTTGGTATGCGAGTATACAACATAACTACTAAATTTATTACAGTATCATCTGTGCTTTGGAGTGTATTCTTTCTCCAGTATTTTCTTTCTTTGTTTTTAATTGCCTAGTCGCTTAGGTCATTTAGATTCGACACGTGTAAGCAGCGCGCTTCCAATTATGGCAACTTTTGCTTCTTCTTCGCTGTCAAGCGACGTTGCCGATGTAAAAGCCGAGGAACCGGAAAAGGCGAAATATGAGCCAAAGAAGTTGCATACAAATGAAGTCGCTTCATTGTTTGATTTGAAAAGCGAATACTTCAAGAAGAAAAGTAATCTTATTCGAAGCACCGCTGGTGAAATATATCGGTCTGGGAAGAGTGTGAGTCGCTTTACTAATGAGCTGAAAGGTTATAGGGGAATAGTAATACGTTCCTCAACATTTTCAGAGCGTATTGGCTATAAAGAAAGAGGAGAAAACGTCATTGAAAAAGGAAGCTCAGGAACGGAAAAGGCGCATTAATGAGCATGAAGCAGCACTTCGGAAGGAAGAAGAAGAGCGTCTTGCTCTGGTCGCGAAAAAGCTAAAGGTATAATTTCCATTTACACTTATCGTATTTACTCTTACGATCGAAGGTTATTGTCTGCTTTGAGTGACCATAAACGCACAGAGGCGTGGTAAAAAATTCCACAGAGTGGTTACTGTTTTCGGCTGCTGTCGGGTAGGGCGGTTTGAATTGTCCATTGTTGAAGATGCATGAGTAAGGGGGAGGAATCGTCTCTCAAGAAGTAAGGTCATTTGAGTCACGGTATTTTCTTCAGTTTTCTGAAGGAGTTCACCTTTTTCTGGTGGCGTGCTACTGCACGAACTCTAATGCAGACTCTGAAGCATCTATGAATGAAACCTTCCACGTTTTTGAATGCCATCACATAGTATACGAGATGTTCTAACTATTTATCGAAAACAACGCAAAATAAGGCCAGAACTAAGATACCTTACTTGGGATGTAGTTAGGTAACATTAATACATTGGCGACAAGGCGCCTTTTCGCGTGTCTGGGCGTGGGACAAAGCAGTTTTTCCCTATTTTCGAAGAATGCGCATAAATGCTAGGGCGTTTATACGCCAAAAAAATTGAAGAATGGTCAGAATTCATTGCAGAAGCTAGTAAGGCTTCGCTATTCTTGTTTACTTTCAAGATAAACCCTGAAATTTCATGGAATACTCCCGCCTCATTCACGTGGAGCGTGGGAACAAGGTCGCAAAAAAGGAATATTTTCGCGCCAGAGGTGGTTGGATTCGATTCAGGTTTGCTAGGGACCCGGGCGATTCTATCGTCGGCAAGTCAGGTCACGTCGCGCACATCGCGTCGCGGCGTCTCGCGCGGCGGCGCGGTGCGACAATTCCGGAGTTGCATTACCGACATACAAATGAGTCTCGAAGACCGCGTATTCACAAGTTCCGAAAAGCCCAAAATTGGATCAGTAATTTTGAACAAATAACGTGGGACCAGTCTTACACCCCTTTACTTTTGAATGCGGAAAAAACAATCATTGATCATCATAGGAAAATGGGACAAGCAGTACAGGATTAACATAAACAATATGGCTTGATGATCATTTTAACAATTTCAACGAGCACGACGCAGCAGGACTCGTACGCGGCGCCCACCAGCGCGGCGACCTACTTATCACCGACGATAGAATCGCCACACACCCGATCTGCTACTGCTGAAAGTTACCTTATCACATTAGCTATCTGCATGTGGAGCTTCAGTTCTATATATCCAAGAATTATCTTTTTTTCCTAGGAAATCACTTTCGTTTCTCCTCGGTAAAATACTCTCAATGACACAACTGCACGGTTTACAGCTACTGTATATTCTACAATGCCTTCATAGACAATATACAGCTACCAGTTGGGCTGACGCGCACTACTGCGCGAATTGTTAAACCTATGGTACTGATCAATGGCAGAATTCTTGTGATGACCCCTAAAACTTCGTCTTATTCCCATGCTTCGAAACACGGCCCATTTCATCATAATTCTCCTCTTTAATGAACATTTGCCAACGTATGGTGCTTATCACAACACTCACCATTCGTTGGAAATGGGACAGCTTAGCGGTTGAAAGAGTTTCAATGGTAACAATATCGAAATCATAGTGAAATGTTCTTACATCCTAATAGTGAGCAGCTTTCATATCGGTCTATTGGCGACTCTTATCATTCCTCACTGGCAAACAACTTTAGGCTTTTACTTCTGGGTGGTACTCGAGAGTTTAGCGGTCGGATCAATTCCGATTACATCCTAAGGGATAGGAACATCTAGGCTCACGGGTTTGGCCCATTACTTCTTGAGTCACGGTGGTCAAGTTCAGTCGCAAGCATAGTGAAGATGCAGCTCCCCGTTGTTGCTCCGACTCTTGCAATGATTTTTTTTCCTGAAGCGGGCCAACTATGGTACTTTATCGGCTGTTATCAGGTCCTGCCACCCACCAATAATGTTCCTATCCTGCCCCATATATTACTTCTTGAAAACAACGTTCTACCTTCTCTGTGACGCGCATTATGGTGTTAGTGAACATCCCTTTCTAAGGCTCCTTATGGTATCTTATCGGCTGTTATCACTTCCTGCCACCCACCAAAAATGTCCCCATCCTGCCCTCTATCTTACTTCTTGGAACCAACGTTCTACCGCTGCTGTGACGCGCGCTATGATGTTGGTGAAGTTCCCCTTCTAAGGCTCCTTGTGGTATCTTATCAACTGTTATCATGGCCTGCCACCCACCAATAATGTTCCCATCCTGCCCCCTATCTTACTACTTGGACCCAACGTCTCGTCGTTGCTGTAGCCCGCGCTATGCATTTGGTGACCCTCCCCTTCTAAGACCCCTGTGATATCTTATCAGCTCTTATCAGTTCCTGCCACCTACCAAGTGTTCCTGCCCGACCCCCTACATCACTTATCAGTTTGAGCGCTCTGTCGCTCTTTTGAAGGAAGTTATGAATTTCCGGTCAAACACACATACAGACACACACACACACACACACACACACACACACACACACACACACACACACACACACACACACACACACACACACACACACACACACACACACCACACACACAACACACACACACAACACACCAAACAGACAAACTTTATAGCGGATTATATATATGTAGGATTGAAAATTCGAAACGTCTTCAAATTGGTTTTTTACCCATGCCGCATCCCAGCAGTGGGACGCAATGTCCCACGCGGCAAAAAAGGTGCGTCCCAGCAGTGGGACGCAATGTCGCCAACGTGTTAAAGGCAGTTGGCACGATAAATCCCTGAGACGAGTAGGATTAATACGCCTGGCAGGACGGAATTCCGCGACCCTGAGCAGGCGCTGCGTAGCGCCTTTTCCAAGGAAGGTACCCTTATAAGGGCCCTATCAAGCTACAACATACCACGAAAGCCCACTACGCCCGCCGCCCGCCCACAAATGGACGACCGTACCTGATGCTCGTATTGCTTCATTGCGAAGTAAATATGAAGCGAAGGGATTGATATGAAGTGGCTGAAGTGCTGCATGGGTATAAGAGTCTATGTGTGCAGACGTACCTCCCGTAGCGGTTAGACAAGATGCCTATGGGAAACTCATCCGGAATTCTTTTTGAACCATTAAGAACGAAGGCTTTTCTTCGCAGGTTTTTGACCGTTTCACTTCGTTTTTCGCCATTTTCCCACTATATAGCGCCCTGCTAGCATTTTAGGCCGAGTACCAAGTTATCGTGCCAGCTACCTTCAAAGTTTCTTCAGTCACTCCCGCAGCATGCCTTCCGCTATCGATATATAGTGGGTGGATAGCGCGATGGACTCTCAATGTCGAGGTAGAAGTTTGTGGTTGGGGCCCGACTGAGCGCAATCTTTTGCATTTTCGGACTTCCGTGCCCTCACGTCCCTGTATGTCTGATAATGGATGCAGCGCCACTGATACATCACGAATCGGCACTACTCAACCATTATGCTTTCAAAACACTAGTGAGGAAATTCTTGTCGGAATGGGGCTAATTTGCTGCAAAAGCTTTCTCGCTCTGGAATCGTTGTCAAGCCGCGCGGCTATTTTGCGCAACAGTGGCGGCAAAAGAGCTTGGCTTCAGAAACATGTGTAAGGATTATGAACGGAGCAACCAGTCATTCCGATGTATGGGATTTCAGCAACTTTTCGCAAAATTTTCTTGTGTTAGTGGACTGACCATTTGGCTAGCAGTAACACCCGAAGTCTCAAATCTTTCTGACCAAGAAGGTCACAGGCAGCACCTACCGTGGGGAATTCTGCCTTCTCAGCACGTCTTCAGAAAACGACATTTTGGCCCTAGAGCACGTGAACAGGCCTTCTGGACTTTTATGGACTTCTATTGTCTAGGTTTTCCTCGAACAACTGATGACCTCGTTCTGTACCTTCTGCTGAGAGGCGAAAATTCTTTATCGTTGACCTTTCAGGTGTAGATGGTGTGCAGTATACAGGAGGGGGGGGGGAGGGAAGCAAAAAAAGTCACTTTTCTTCATTGACTTTCGAGGCGCTATAAGTTACACTATTAAATTCTGATCGGACATTTCTACCACCATATTAAAGAGCATATTAAATACTATCATGATACTCCGCCACAGCCTTCTGGAGGAGCGCCATCGAGAGATTCTGCCACGCGACCGTGAGTGGGTGCCTGAGTTCAGCGAGATCGTTGATTTCTCCGCCACTGTAGACCACCCTGTTGAGCTCCGAACCGGGTAATTGAGGGGGTTTAGGTCAGGTGACCTACTTAGATATTCCATCTTCTTCAGGTACTCAACGTCCTTCCATTCCAAGTGGGCGAGAGTTTTTCCAATGCCCTTCGAATCCACGTGGTGTCGCCCAATCCTGTAGCAGTACAAAGTTTCCAAGAAGGTACGGGTGACGACATGTAGGGAGGATATTCTTCTCGAGTTGCTCGATGTAACCGCCAGCGCTCACCTTCAGTCCGGGGTCCACGAAGAAAATATCGGTCTTTCCATTCCAGGTCCATACCATCACCCGCGCCTTGGCGACTGCGGTGAAGATGATGTCCTAGACCGTGGCGACGTTGTCGGAGCTGCTCGATGTTGGAGGTCTTCCAGATCGAGAGTACTGTCTCCAGGTAGCTATCATGGGTGACTCCATACTATTAGGTCGTTGCAAAAGAAATACAGGATTTTATATTCAATACTTATTTTATTCCAATAAAATGTAAGTGTTATATATCATTCGAAAGCTTATCTAATGCTCTTTCTAAATGATACTTCAAGATTGGTTGTAATTCTTTTTAGAGGCCACGAAATCGTTGAAGGCGTTTTTGGCATCGTCTTGGTTTTTGAAGCATTTCTCTTTAAGATAGTTGTCCAGATGCTTGAAAAAGTGGTAATCGGTGGGCGACAGGTCTGGTGAGTATGGTGGATGAGGCAGAGTTTCATAGCCCAATTCGTTTAACTTCTGGAGGGTCGATTGTGCGACGTGTGGTCGGGCATTGTCGTGGAGAAGAATAGGTCCCTTCATATTGACCAACCTTGGGCACATGCGTTGAAGCT